CCAGCACCTTCTCCTGCCCCGATGGATGAAGGGTTTTGGGATGTCCCAACTTGGGGTCTTGGTTGAATGCAGGAAGGTCCAAAGACTTTGTGGGTGTCCACGGTTCTCCTGTGGTGGGTTTTGACCTCCTTCAGGAGATAATTTAGCAGCTGTGGTGAGGACATGATGAGGAGGTGACCCCATGGCCAGCACCTTCTCCTGCCCCGATGGACAGAGGGTTTTGGGGTGTCCCAACTTGGTGGCGTCTTGGTTGACTTGAGAAGGGTTCAAAGAGGTTGTGGGTTCTTCCAAGGTTCTTCCATGGTGGGTTTTGTCCCCATTTCTCCCCCCCCGGGACTAATTCAGCCACTTGGGCGCCAACGAGATGAGCAACCAACCGTGCCCCGAACCTCCAGCTGAAAATCGGGGTGCAGAGGGGATCCCCTTTCCACCACCCCCCACCTACACCCCACCCCGTTTCCCCGCAGGTCGCATCGGTGTGGCCGCCCGCACCGGCGGGCCCGGTGTCACCAACACGGTGACGGCCGTCAAGAACGCCCAAATGGCCGAGTCACCGGTGCTGCTCATCGGAGGAGCGGCCGCGACGCTGCAGAAGGTGGGGACACCAGAAAATCTCCTCCCAGCCCCATTTTTGGGTTGTTTCCTCCCATTTTTGGGTTGTTTCCTCCCATTTTTGGGTTGTTTCCTCCCATTTTTGGGTTGTTTCCTCCCATTTTTGGGTTGTTTCCTCCCATTTTTGGGTTGTTTCCTCCCATTTTTTGGGGGGGTCTCCCATTTTTGGGAGGTTTTCTCCCATTTTTTGGGGGAGGTCTCCAATTTTGAGGTTGTTTTCTCCTTTTTTTGGGGGGTTTCCATCTGTATTTGCGTTGTTTTCCTCCCATTTTTGGGGCGGTTTCCTCCCATTTTTTTTGGGGGGGTGTCTCCGATTTTGAGGTGGTTTTCTCCCTTTTTTGGGGGTTTCCGTCTATATTTGGGTTGGTTTCCTCCCAGTTTTTGGGGCGGTTTCCTCCCAGTTTTTGGGGCGGTTTCCTCCCAGTTTTGGGTGGTTTCCGCCTGTATTTGGGTTGTTTTCCTCCCTGTTTTGGGGTTGTTTTCTGCCATTTTTTTGGCTGTTTTTCTCCCATTTTTAGGGTCTTTTCTCCCATTTTTTTGGGGGGGAGTTCCCATTTTAGGCGGCGTTTTCTCATTTTGGCGTGTTTTTCTCCCAGTTTGGATGGTTTCCTCCCATTTTTGGGTAGTTTTCTTCCATTCTGGGTTGTTTTCTCCCATTTTGCTTTTTTTTTCCACTTTTGCGTTGTTTCCTCCCATTTTTGGG